TTGCGTTAGAGTAAGTCGTTTTGTTCGTAAACAATGTTTTGCAAAAAGCGGACGGCAGACAGTAGTTCTGAACCAGTTCTTAATCAAGTAGCCAAAAGATGATTGGTGATAGTCTACAACATGAGAGCAGTAAATCTTGCACATATGTTAAATTAGGTCATTTTTTACTACAAGTAAAACAACATTCAACATCGAGGGCTCGTCGCGCAGACAAACTACTACCTCATGCGAGGATGTGGCCGCCGCACGCAACGCGAAGTTTCGAAGACGGGTAAGTAAATTTATCCCACTGCAGTGCGAAGCGGTGACGTATACCCTCGTTTCTCATCGAGAGAGCTCCACGAGCGGACGTTTTCATCTCGTTACAGATGAAAACTGCGGAAGCGCCTCGCAGTCGGTAGCTAGTATACGGTCATGTTCGAGATGTTAGTTGACGCACGAACACACAGACCCCGCCCTCTAAGTACACTAACCAACACAGCTCAAGTTCGGCGGCGCCGTTTCGTTTTGCGTGCGGCGGTACACTCCCCGCATTTGTGTCGACCGTCGGCGCCACTTTGAGAATCGTAAATCTCGCTTCGCTTATAAGCTAGCGCAGGCACACTTGCGTGTAATCTGACGCTACGCTAAATCGCTAATCTCACCTTCGCTTATAAGGCGTACGCAGCCACACTTGCGTGTTATTAAGCAAATACCCAGTGAGTCAAGAAAAGCAAAAGTGAGTAGAAAGTAAGAGCCCGACAGTATTTACTTGAAGTGTACCTTGTTATCAAGAGCATATTCAAATCCTAAATGACAATTTTTGCATTTCAGGGTACAAGTACGGAAAAGGCCATAATGGACAGGGAACACACAAACTTCCAAAAAGACGTACATTTGCCAGACGTTCAGTGTGGAGATTTCATGTTGGACATCGCTCATTTCGACATTGTTTGTTGACAGATACGACGGTCTTGCGATCAGACCTCTAAAGAGAAAAGGTAAACAAGGAGCGAGCCCATGTCATTGCACGGTATGGTTACGCTGGGTAACTCAGGTTTACCTGTTACCTGGTAGGCCCTCGGCGATGCAATTCAGGTGCCTCGGCCAATCCAATTCCAGTGTGTTGCTGAGTTAGAAAAGAGGTCGACGTCGAGCGACAAAGAGGAGGGACTCTCGCCCTGCGCGCTCCGTCCTCGAACACTACACTCGTGTGTGTGTGTTTAGGGTCGGTTCCGACGCCACACACAACAACCCGACCCAAAGGCGCACAGCGACAGCGCTGCCGGTGACCCGAGTATCCCTCCACGTCCTCGAGGTGTTCGGCACATCCTGTCTCCACTTTATGTGTATGATATGTCTCTACGACAATACTCTTGGTTAACACTTAAACCTTTAACGGTTATAGTTACATAAGATCATTGGAGCTTGTACCTTAATAATGTCATCTTTACCGTACTATACCCGGAATTCCCGATTTGGTCAAAACCTATTAGTTTTTATTGACCAAACGAATCTATTTACATGAGTGACCAAACTATTCTAATGACGATAACTACGTTTCTATCATTATGGCAGAGAACTTGTTACTCCCGACACTAACTTACACACCTACAACCTCTCCTATACTCAGCTCCTATCAAAAATAGCAAGGGAGAGAGTATTATTTTGTATGTGACCTTCATTACCGGAATAACTGTCGACCATTACAGGAATAGAAGTAAAGAGCAAATACCCCTTGTAAAACCGCGGTTCATCTGTACGAGTAATGGACAATTCGGGGTTAGGAACAAAAAGTCCAGAGTCTGAGCTTTTACTGTAAAGGCTCTTGTTTACTGGTATTGATGTGAAGATTTCCCTTTAATTATTAGAAAAAAAGAGTTTCATTCTATTTGGAAGTTTCAAAGTCAAGACCAAAGAGTTGAGCGGAAAACAAGAACTGAGAAATGTGTCTCGTGAAAGGTACAGAGTAGAAAGCATAAAAAGCGTCCGACCCAGACTCATGTTACTCTCAGTCGAGACTACTTTTACGAGAACGATTGCAGGGGTCTGGACGCTCTCGACGGGAGCTGGTGCGAGAGTGGTGACAAGACGACGGACAGGCGTGTTCATGTAGGTACACATACGTAAATTAATGACATGAACATATAGCGATAATTAGTACCAAACTTATGTTGTCGCAGTGTCTTTAACAAATTAGTGTTGGTAAACGGCATCATTTAGAAACGTGTATTACAATTTAATCACAGTAAAATATGTTCATTTTGTTGTAGTTGTAGCTCCCGAGCCAGCGCGTCTTGTTTGAATGATGCGAGTAACGGCCCCTACACACGGCGGCGTGCGTTGCCGCTTCAACGCTTCTGCCCATTCACTTTAAATAGGGTGACGTCACGATTTGCCGAACTGCATTATGGGAGCAAAGCGTAGCTTCTCTCGCGGTGCTCGCTGCAAAAGTAGAGCAATGTTCTACTTTTGACGCCTCGACGGAGGCGTCAGCCAATCGAATCATATGCCAGTACAAGCTCTAGCCAATCAAACTGCGTGCTTGTGTGTCTGGGGCGGGAGATTCATGTGATTGGTTGTTGGTCGAGTTTCAGCCGCCCCCGCCGGCAAGCAACAACGCACGCCGCCATGTGTAGGGGGCGTAAACACAGCTGGCAGCCGCGGTGAAACTCTAGCATTTAGAGCGAAGCGAATATTCGCATCGCGTCCGGTGTGAACGCACCATTAGACTAGCGATGCGATAGGAGCGATTAGAGTGAAGCGAATATTCGCATCGCGTCCGGTGTGAACGCACCATTATTCTGTTTATGGTATCAGTTTTTCGTTTTCTCATCCTTTCATTCTCGGGCTTGTCATAAATGAACTTCACATGGAACAATAGTTCTCGTATAACCGTTTAAGGGATTTACTGTTAAAAACGTAAAGGTCCCATGTCATGCTTTTCCGGTTATTACCTGTCCCCTTGTGTGTTATGAAGGTTTTTCTGCATGTAAACGGTCTGCAAAGTCACAAACCCTCAAAGTACAACCTGTAGCGAGTAAAACTGTAACACAAAACAACTGTCTATGCTGCCCCAGAACGCCTCGTTGGAGATTTCTCTTTTTCCATTGTTTTCTTCCTGGGTACAGTAACGTGCCCATACCCAAATGGACCCATTGGTCCAAATGGACCAATGGACCAATCCGTGGAGCCGCTACGTTACGTCCACGGAGCCGTTAGGTTAAGGTCACACACACACTCAATCTTTTCTCAGCTGCAGCTCCGCTGATTTCTCCTCCCTGAGACGGCGGGACGCGGCGAGGCAGGGAGCTTGTGTGTGAGCACACACACACAAACTCCCAGCCAGGCTGCGTGTGTGTGTGTGTTTGGGCTGGGTTTCGCTGTGTCTCGCTGTCTCGCAGACGGCCACTGGGCTCATAGGGAGGGGGGGGCAGGAGCTCCAACAAGCCGTGTAGGACAGAGAGTGAATACACATACTATACAGAGATGCTGTATGAGAAACCAATGTGAGTTTGGAAAATTGCACAATATAAATGTATTCTAGTAGACCTCAACAATGGAATTATTATCAGTAGAAATGGCCATGATATGGGACCTTTAAGGGCTAAACACAGTTTTTGGATAATCAAAATAACTGGTTTGCTTAGATAAATGTAGACTCACTGTGTTTATAAGATTACTGCTCATTGTGCCAAAGATAGTATACCGTTCTTGAACAATGAGGGCTTTGATGCATGTGTGGATGTTGGAGAGGATATGAGCGGAGGATAGTTTTTATTTCCCCTCTCTCATAATAAAACATACACTGGGAAAGTAATGGCCTTAATGACAGCTGTAATTCCTTATCTTCATTTCCTCCGTTTGGGGAACATTTTGGCAGCCAGAGACATGTCATTAACCTGTTAAGCCCCAAGCCTGTTTTTCAGGTCTCAGACTCGAAAATGACATTTCCAGAACAAATGACCATAACTACACTTCTAAAAGGGGAAAATTAATAATCTTTTTTCTCAAAGTAATGATAAACCTTCAAGTCTTCAAGTTTCTGGTTTCTCAACTCGCCCTTTTGTTCCTTGATCTTTTACACATAGCACTTTTCCATGTCTCATCTTTCGTATTTTTTCCGCAGGCTGGGTCTGAGCTACAATGAGATCAGCTCTGTGGAAAATGGCACTCTTGCTAACGTCCCCCACCTGCGAGAGCTGCACCTCGACAACAACGCTCTCACCACTGTTCCTGCTGGCCTGTCCGACCACAAGTACATCCAGGTGTGTACTGCATTTTAATTACTGTACTTGTATATCTGCTATTAATCATGGTTTGAATAACAACAGCGTCACAGGAAGATTGGTATCACAACCATTTAGTTCCAGCAAATTACCTCTGCTCGAGCACTATAGTTACATGTGTCATTATATTACAGTATAAAAACAGTCAGCTCATTTTCTCCCCTCTCAACTACACTGGAAGAGTTTACTTTGTTGCTTTTTTGCATTTGATTTGTTTAGGTTCACACTGCCCGATTACAAGTCAACTAAGGCTTTCATAATCAAAGTCACATGGATTCATTTTGTTTGTTTTTTGGGTAAATTGTTGGTAGCCAATCATACTAAATTGTTACAGATTTTGACAGTAGGGGGGAGTGTAAACAGACTTGGTTCAATGCCCTTTAGTATGGCCATCCCATAAAACCTTTTAAAGGGAAATTTCATGTTTTTTACTTTGAAAATATATTCACTACTGCTGAACTAATACTGCACACCTGTCAACGATCTTTTGTGGTTATATTGTGAGGTTTTAATTGCATTGTTCTCAGCAGACATAACTAACCAAACTATGGTCAAAAACAATAGTTTGGAGAAATACAGTAGGGCCTAACAAAGTTGTGCTGAACTGGATTCCCCCCTTACCAATTGGGCCAATGAAGTAGTCATATCAGGTATTACTAAAAGACAAAGGGTTTATATATGAATGTCTGAATATTTGAAACTCGAAACCAGCCTTTTTTAAAAGTAGGATGTTAAACCAAACTATAATATCACATTTTAATATCAGGACATGCCAATAGACTAAGCGTTCTTAGACATGGAACTGTTTTTCAAGTTTTTGTGATCTTTTGCATACATTAAACAATTTCTGTTGTTTAAGATGGCGATTTTACTTTGCTATAACTTTTTTCAATCGTATTGTTGTCTGTTTTTGGACTTCTGACGTCTTTGGAATCTGTAATTAGCATTATATTGTCAGCCCCAGTGAGTTTGTGGCACTTCCCTCCTTTTGTTCTTATTTCTAGGATCCTTCTCACCCCCCTTTAGTGCGGCATGATTAAGGCTACTGTGCTTCAAACACAATGCACAGCTGCTTGGTTGTTTTTAGCCATGTTTATATATGTTTTTTATGTGATTCTGTTTTTAAAAACATGTAGGCTTGCTTGTTCTCAATGTGAAGCAGCATCAATCTTAGTCATTGTGAAGTTTTCCCACAGTTTTAAGTTAAACATTATAGAGCTATATTATTCAGTGGTGACATGTGATTATCTTCTTTATGCACTTCCTACTCAGTGACCAAAGGATGTCATTATTTAAATCCCTTCTCTAGGTGGTCTACCTCCATACCAACAAGATTTCAGCTGTGGGAACAGGAGACTTCTGTCCTCCTGGCCTCAACCACAAGAAGGCCATGTACTCTGGCATCAGCCTGTTCGGCAACCCCGTTCCTTACTGGGAAGTCCAGCCCATCACCTTCCGCTGCGTCTTCGACCGCTCCGCCATCCAGCTCGGCAACTACAGGAAGAAGTAGAGCGTCCCGCGCACCTCGGCAAGGAAGTGTGTGTTTGTAAATGATTGTGTGAAAGTTTTCTAAGTATGCATGTTTGACTAGAGCCCCAGAACACTGACCCCCGGCAACACTGCCTCCCCAACAAATGACAATGCCATTATTCACAAAACTTTAGTGGACTTAAACGCAACATATCATTTTTATTGTAGCTTAAAGGTTGGTGCAACAGTACAAGGCTTACAGCAAACACCAGCATACAATGGTGATGCTCTCACACACAGCACATCATTCATAGAAACAGCTAGGCAAGCACTAACATTGCAAATATGTTCTTGCATACATCTTATTTTCATTTAACGGATACATTGAAATACAGAAGTGATTTTTAACCAAATGGGAAATGTTTAAAAACCTACTTTAAGTCAGCTTTCTTGACCTTGAGCCATTGTATGAATTTTAAGAAACCTGGCCTGTAGAGCAGGCAGCAAGGGGTTAACTTGTGTTTTAAAATACCTTTAATAACTGGTATACTAGAATGTACTAGATATTACCTGTGTACTAGGAATAGCATTCAGAGTGTATTATTACCTTGAAAGAACTTTGAGTTTCTATTTGTATTGTTCTCAATTCAAGTAGGGATAAAATCAACCGTGTCTTCTATCACATTGTGATTTCTTGTGCTGATTTAGTTTTGGGTGTTTTTACATTTTCTCTTCATCACACCTCCTATCTTGTTCCTCCTCCTAGTGTATGTTGTTCCATACAAAAAACAAGGTGAAAATAGCTTATAAAAATGTAGAATAAACCATATATGTTTTAAAAAGAAGCCATTCCCAAAGATTTATATGCATGCTCTTGTTTTTTTTCTTGCAACTTGAACCTGATGCTTTGTGGAATCCCTTGTTGATGCTTGTCTGTATCTCACGCTAGTTTCCCTGTCATTTATCTTTTCCTTTTTCAAGAATAATTGGATGGTGTATGTGGACCGGCATGCCCACTGCAAAAATGTTGGTGTGAATGTTGTATGTATAGACGCTGTATATAAATGCTGTATAAAAAACCTCTCGTTTTACTTAAAAGGCACAAGCACTTACCATAGCTCAGACTTAATATATCAGCAACAACGGTGTTCCTCTTTCTTTCCGGAGCAGGGGCTCCAGCTAAGGTGTCCTGAACAAAATAAAAATACTAATGGAAAAAGTAGCCGTTTTTGATGGATGTAATGATCACATTTAATTGTGGATGATGTGAATGATGATTTTTGCACCTGGTCACTGGATGGTGCTACAGTAGCTACAGCGCTCAAAGAAAGATGGCTGCGGCTTCCTGGCAAACAAGGTCAAGAGGAGGCACAGGTAAAATGTACTGAGGAAAAGGTGAGGCATCTTGACGATAAATAACAAACATATTCATTAGGTGAAGGTGCTTCAGACACATAACTATGATAAAAAGCTTTTCAAGTTGAAATCTCCAATAAGGTCGCCATGTATGACCAATCAAAAATATTCAAATGTTTAGAAAATGTGTTTTTTTATTGCCGAAATATGGCTTGTAACAATTAGGCACCATGGACACTTTTTACAACCAATTATCAATCATTTATACTTATATCAAACATTATGTCTTTTAACTAAAGCACTAGTTCTTCTGTTAACAATACGTCACAATTAAAGGTATTACAAGATTGAGACTGTACTATAAGTCTGATTCTACATTCTATGTACGTACAGTGGGGCCATTGCTCAATTTGATGTGCTCATTTTATCAATTTAACTGCCTTTGCTGCTTTAATTAAATCAGCATTAAACAATACATTAATTAAATATGTTTAAATTACACTGAAAAAAAATAAAATATGAAATGATATAACAAATGGTTAACAACATACAGTACTTATTCCAAGTGCATCCTCCCATTTCTTTTCTGTATTCCCTTATCCTGTGTAGGGCTCAGGAGGGTGGAGCCATTCCCAGCATTTATTGGCCAAGAGTCAAGGTACATCACAGGATGTACTGTACACATTTATAGGACACATAATATGGATCTATATATACAAAAGCCCAACAACGTGTTCAATTTAAAGTCTTCAGTCCACCATGTCTATGGTTTGGGAAATAAAACTGACACAGGGAGGACATGTTGCTTCACACAGCTTCTATAATACACAATCTTGCTGTCACTGGACAAGGTGAATTAATGAGCCACTCAGGGATTCATCATGTAAAACGGGAAGTGAAATGGTTGGGTGGAAGGTCTAAAAAGAGTTCTAATTTATGGTAGATTATTTTGCTTCCAGCTACCTCTGCAGGATCTTATTCATTTTGATGGGTTGTGTGGTCTGAGGTTAAAAAAATATTTGCACACAGACCATTCCTGGCCTCTGAGCCACCAGAGATTTATAATCCTTCAGTCATTTAAAAGACTGTAATGGGAATATTTAGGTTAGAGAAGAAGGAATGGAGCTCCCTTTAGACGTGTGGTGGTCGAGACTCCTGCCTCTGGAAACAGGTTTTATGATTTGCATTGCATGTTTTAGAAGTGACAAATGTCAATAATATGGCATCGGACACAATGTATTATTAAATATGTGTTCTTCTTAATGGAGCAGTTGATACCAAAACAATTAGTACATTACTGCCACCAACTGTTTATTCTGAACACATTCCTTTCCTTTTTCTTAATTTATCATTTGTCACTATTGTTAGACACACACACATAGACCAACCAAACACATTATCATGAAAGAAACCAAAACTAAAATAACATTTGAGTTTAAGAATAAATGATAGCAAGAAAATCTGGAAAATGTATTAATAAATGGTTGGGTAGAGGTCGTAAATGATTTAATGTGTGTCGTAAATGAAGACATTATAACTGATTTTGTATTTATTCTTCAATTTAACTGATAAAAAGAAACAGTGAACGTTGGCACTTTTGGCCCTCCATAGAGCTGCTTTCCTTACTAAACATTATTGGTGCGTGGCGTTAAATTACGTATAAACAAAAGGCATAAACCGTATAGAGATTTAATGAGTTGTGATTGGCTCAACATTTTCCCCCTCTGATATGTCTTGGGGGGGNGGGGGGGGGGGGGTGTTCAGACCACGACACAGTGAAAAGCATCAGTGTTTGAGCTCTGGCTCTCATCCCAACACCTCAGTTTGAAAAGCAACGTACTTCAATCTGTTGCCCCCATGTGGTGGCTATTAGTATAGCACTTAATATTCTTTGTCTCTCTCCCCCTTAAACACACACTTGCAAAAGCCGTTGCAACTTCATGTATCTCACCAGACGGCTATCTTTTATAGACCATGGGTACTTACACTTATTACTTTAGGCCCATTGCCAGTATTTGTGTGTGTTGGTGCATGTAGATTGAGGTTACTGCGAGGAGAAGTACTTTGAAAAAAAATTCAGTTGTGTCCAAACATGTGTCCATCAACTTAATTCGTAGCATATTTGCACATGCTGTACACTCATTGCTTAGTGCGTTTTCACATGCGCATGATACATGTGTGTGTGTGCGTGCGTGCGTGCGCGTGTGTGTGCGTGCGCGTGTGCGTGTGTGTGTGCGTGTGTGTGTGTGTGTGTGTGTGTGTGTGTGGG